AAATAATGATTAAATTCATAAATACAAATAACAAATCTGGATTTCAACATAATATTACAATATCAATGAACTAATGTGTATATCAATGTACTGATGTGTGTATATATAAATGTGTATATCAATGTACTGATGTGTGTCTATAAATGTGTATATCAATGCACTGTTATATATATATATATATATATAAATGTGTATATCAATGCACTGTTGTGTATATATAAATGCACCGTTGTATATATAAATGTGAATATCAATGCACTGTTGTGTATATCAATGCACTGATGTGTGTAAATAAATGTGTATATCAATGTACTGATGTGTGTAAATAAATGTGTATATCAATGCACTGATGTGTGTAAATAAATGTGTATATCAATGCACTGATGTGTGTAAATAAATGTGTATATCAATGTACTGATGTGTGTATATAAATGTGTATATCAATGTACTGATGTGTGTATATAAATGTGTATATCAATGTACTGATGTGTGTATATAAATGTGTATATCAATGTACTGATGTGTGTCTATAAATGTGTATATCAATGCACTGTTGTATATATATAAATGTTGTATATCAATGTACTGTTGTGTATATATAAATGTGTATATCAATGTACTGATGTGTATATAGTTAGCTTTCAAGCTAATTTGTTGATTTATTGATAAAACTCATTTTCTAGCCGTGAAATACACCAAGTAGAACAAGAATGCAAGTTAACAATAAGCACGAAGCTTTAGTAGTTTTCTACACAATCAAAATAGTTTCAAACTATTTGAGCCCTAAAGAAAAGTCCCGCTCTAAGCTTTTATAAAATGAGGTACGGTGCTCTTCTGTGTTATTTTATTTCTCAGTTTTAGACTTTGTTCGCCTGAATCTATCGCGAAGTAACACTCAGTACAGACTCGCGCTGAATGTAGCACAGTGAAACGTTTGGTACGAGCTTTAAAAGACCTGTCTTTCCTTCTAGGTTTTAGTTATGCAGAGCAGTACGCTAGAACGATCGATAGTAATCAATATGCTAAAAAGCAGAGAATGAATAGGAGCCCATAATGAAGGGTTTTCTAGGCTTGAGGTATAGTTCGAAAGTCCTGCTGTGTGTGCAGAAAATCTAACGACCACACCAGTTCGAAAGCAAAGCTCTTCTGATAAGGCTTTGTATCTATCTAAGATAAAGGTTGATGGCATTGTTGAAGTTTACTGTCTCGTAGGAAGACTTCTAAACCCACTGAATGTCTAGCTTAAGTAATTCTGGACTCCTCTGATAGAGTACACGACTAGGAAAAGCTGCAACATGGTAACTTTAGATAGCGGAGTTAACAACTCCTTTTGTTAAATGGCCTGCTCTATTCTTGTCAGTTTTACATTATACATATATATACGGTTTAAACACGGTTCAGTAGTTTCTATTTAAACTAAAAGATAAACATGTTTTAAACGAACTGAACATCATCAGAGAATGAATAAAATATATTCTATCTAAAGACAGTTATAAAATTTAGGGTTAGGCAAAAACAAGATTTTCCTTACTGGTTTTAAAGGATGATGTGAACATTTCTAAACGTTACCAATTTTAGGTAAAACAAACGAAAACTTAAAAAAATATCAATTTGTTATGAATATCTAAAAAAAAAAAAAAATCGGAAGTGGTTTGAAAGTGGAAATCATGAAAAATGAGAATTAGACAGTGTTGTAAAATCATCAAGATACTGATGGTTTGTAAGTCAAAATAGCGATATTTTTGGTTGGTTTCGAGTATATATGGAGGTTTGTCACTTGATCTAATTTAGCCATATTTTTGGTTGGTTTCGAGTATATATGGAGGTTTGTCACTTGATCTAATTTAGCGATATTTTTGGTTGGTTTGGAGTATATATGGAGGTTTGTCACTTGATCTAATTTAGCGATATTTTTGGTTGGTTTCGAGTATATATGGAGGTTTGTCACTTGATCTAATTGAAAAAATTCTAAACAGCATCTTGGAAGTGAAAAGACACCGTGGTGTCTCAAACTATTAAATAAATTCTGTCTTTTTTTTTCTTTAATCAGTTTTTAGTCCCACAAAAAATGTATTTATAGCAGACCTATATTGATTTAGGTACATTTGCAAAGAATCATCAAAAGTGGAGCAAACTAGAGTAGCTGGCTAGGATTATAATTTTTGAAGTGTTTTTGTTTAATTATGCACAAAGCTACACAAGGGCTATCTGTGCTCTG